AAAAAAAAAAAAAAAAGTAAAGAAAAAGCTACTCCATTTAGCATAAAGAACAAACGACCCTGTTTTTCAGTTTTTGCAAGAGCTGAATTGTTTTCATTATTTCTTCATTTTTCCTATTTTCTTCGAAATATGCGGCAGCAAATAAATTCCAATAGATGCACCTTGGAAAGAATGGAGCCGACGAGGTCATCAGGCTTAGTCACCGGCGCCGGGGAAGTGGAAACGGAAGCATAAATTGGCGAAAACTGTTTCGACGTCCGGCGACGGTTAGAGCGATTTTGAGGACAGTTAAGTGCTAGCTGAGAGCTTAAGTGAGCATCTGAAGAGGAGCTACGGTGAGGATTTCTGATGAAAGCAGTGGTGGTGGCGCCGCCGCCGGCGATGACGTAAGTGGCCATCTGATTTTGGCATTCCGAAGGGACTCAATGGAGAACTTGTTTTAGTTTGTGTTTTTTCTGAGCCAGACACGTGGATTTTCGAAATCGGATGTGGGACCAGTTGGATATGGTTGTGGCAAGTTAGTTGTTGCCATCTGGAATGAAGATTTTTTATTTTTAAATAAAAAAACTTGCCATGGGCATTTATGGCGCTTTTCCGAAGATAGAATAACATTTTCCTTTTGATAACCAAGAAATCCACCAAGTGGCGCAAGTTGTTTAATGGGTCCGCCCCTCTAACTTCCTAATTCAAACTTCCTATTAATAGCTTTCTATTAATAAAAGATAGAATAATATTTTTGGTGATAACCGAAAAAGTCCCGAGGACCTATGGCTCAAGGTTCGATACTTGATGAATAATTGGGCATGCCCCTCTTAATACCAGACTTTTATTTGCAACAAGGATTAAACTTGTGACGTGCATGAGTACGTAATTTTTGCACAATATAAAAAATTACTTTTAAAAATAGTCTAAAAATAAATTTAATTGTCTTATAAATTTGGGGGGTTTCTTTTATTTGTTTTGCATTTATTCACATTGTTTATGCATATTTAGGAGTGTTTTAAATCATAAAAATCATCAAAAATATTTTATTTAGTGTGCCACTTGCATTTAGGAATCAATCATAGGTTAACGGCATAATTATAATAATAGTCATAAAATATACATTAGTTGTTTTTTGGCATCTTCCTTGCATTTCTTAGTCTTAATTAATTAGTTTTAATATAGTTAATTATTTAGTTGGTAGTTGAAAATTAATAATTAGGTTAATGGTGCACAATTAGTTCAAATTAGAATAGGTGGTCTAATTTCGAGAGTAAAAGAAAAGGGTGTTGGACATTTACAGTATTTTGGGCTAAGATTTTGGTAGCCCAAGTTCACCAGGTCCGTCCAACCCGCCCGGCCCAGTTACTAAACGACGTCGTTTAGACCAAGTTCACACAGTAGATTCGCCTCTCCTCCTCCGGCTCTCTCACCGAATCCCTCACACAGTACTCCTCACTCTCACACACGCCTAAGCCATCTAGTAGTAACTGATAGGACACCCAAACCAGATCTGAAAATCATAAGCTAAAAAAGATAAGAAGAAAAACTGGAATTTTCAAGCGGGGTTTGAAGAGAACTGATTTCAAAGCTCGATTTCTTTCTTCCCGGGTTTCTGAAATTCGTTTTGAGCGGTGGAATCGCTGTATTGTCGCTGTTTGTTGCTGCAACCGTATTGAGCTCTGTTTGGTTTGGATTTCGCTTCTGTTTGGCAAATTTGTTGGTGATTGCACTGTTCAACCAGCCGAGTTGCACTCTCCAATCCAAACCTTTATTTGGTGGATTTCTGTTGATTATTCTTCTTTACAGTCTAGGTACGTTCTGTATTTTTATGATTTTTTAGTTGAATGAAGTTGAAATTGTTTTTAAAATTATACTATTTCCCATACTCCGTCTCTGACAATGATGCTCTAGGCGAATGATGCATTTTGAATGTTCACTAAACCTGTCATTAATCGTAAGTTTGATAAAACCTGTTTCTAGTATGTGATGATTCAAACATTTCCTTGGTGCTGATAATTAGATGTGTAAGCTTATAATTTTTGCCAATAGTTGTTTGAAATTGGCGTGATGGAGGGATTATGTGAAGGGAAAGGGTAATGGTAATTTTTCTGATGTAATAAGTGTAACTAAGGCAGAGCATGAATCACCTACTGTTATTCTAATTAAAGTTTTGTAATGACATGAGCAGCCGTGTGTATTTGGCATTGCGTGTGCTGATTTGTATTCATTTAATTTCACAATGCAAAGTTAGCTTAACTGGGTTAATAGCATAACAATTCCAAGTTTGTAAAAAACTTTTAATATTTGGAGCATATGGGCTCCATTATGTGAAACCCATCAGTTATCTTTTAAGTAGTAATCTGCACATTTTTGTCCCTAATTGAGTTCCATGGTTTTGGGCTTTCGCCTTGATTCCAAACGTAGGAAAATAAACAACTTATAAATATTCGTAGCTTGCTTTAGGCGCACTTAATAAATAAATCATCGTGACTATGGGTACGGTTCCCGTGGCATAGTCATGATACATAACCCCCAATTAGAGTGTGCGTTTCACGCGACTTGACCACAACTTCGAATAATAAAAAAATTAACATGTTGTGAATCGCGGGTACGTTTCACGTGGCGCGATTCGCAATATGTACAAAAACAAACGAGTGCACGACATCGCGACTTGTTCAAACAAATTTCATAAATACTATAAGCGGTTAAAAAGTAAAAATGCACAATAGGTTTCAAATATGTATTAAATCAGATAATTAGGATAATTATAATAGTTGAGCAACCGTGCTAAAACCACGTAACTCGGGAGTGCCTCACACCTTCTCCCGGGTTAATAGAATTCCTTACCCGCTCTTCTGTGTTCGCAGACCATAAATAAGAGTCAATTTCCTCGATTTGGGATTTAAAATAAATCGGTGACTTGGGACACCATAAATTATTCCAAGTGGCGACTCTGAATTAAATAAATAATTCCATTTCGATTAATGTTACTTTAATTGAAAAAACTCCCCTATCCCTTCGGGAAAAAGGAGGTGTGACAACGTGTGCCTAACCCACACATTATTGCTACGCTCTTACCACTAGACCAAAGCTCCGAGGGCGTAAAAGATTTTAAAAAAAAAAACAATTATCCTTACTAATCGTTAAAAGATTTGTGCATCCAAGAGTGTAACCTAGTGGTCAATGAAGCGGGAGAAGAACGATGGGGTCTCAGGTTCAAATTCCAACGGAGACAAAAAACACTAGCTGATTTCTTCTCATGTGCCTAAGTGATGATACATGTGTTGAAGGGAAGTAGCATGTACCCGGTGAAATAGCTAAAGTAGCCACAAGCTGGCCCGAACACCACCGTCATAAAAAGAAAAACAAGTCGTTAAAAGATTTGCGAAGGGGGTAATTAGTTAAACCAATGTATATCCAACCGGTACTCATGAGTAGCAAAGGATAATGAAAAAGCAAAGTAAAAAAAGCTCCCTTAAACTTATGATTATATTTCATTTCAGTACGGAAATAAATTGTTATTTTCAATTGAAGCCATCGTGAAAGTCCCAAAAAAAAAAAAGCCATTGTGAAATCCCTGATCTTACACAGTAGGCTAAAATTGCTAAACCCAACTCAATGTAGTTAGAGATTTCAATCTAAAGGTGACAAAATTGGAACAAAAGGGTAACAAAATAGAGGATAAAACAACACTTTCCAACTACGCCAATACCTTGAATGATAAGATTCAGGTGGAAAAGTAGGTGACTGAAACATCAAAATCTCCGACGACTTGGAGTGTATTAGGTTGTCAAAATAACTACGAAGGAACAAGCCAAATGACTTTGGGTAACCTCTTCTCAGAATGACATAATCAGCAAAAATAAGGACATAATAGGAATTTAACAGAGATAGTAAGAAATTGTGTTTGCATTCATAAGTTGGCAACAACACTACCCTTATTTAAAAAAAAAAAACTTACATGTTAAACATGACAATGATGACATACACTATTTAATGAGTATACTAGAGTAAAATAAGAAATTTAAGTTAAATTATTTTTAAATTTAGAAAAATTTCATTCTTTTTTCCACGGATTTAAAAGAGAAAAGGCCCAAAATAGTCCAGTATCTTTGGACTTTAACTCAAACTAGTCCTATTTATTTCACATGGAGCACTAATAGTCCACATTTTTGGCCCTTTTCCATTCTATCTTTTATCAATAGAGCTTAGGTTGGAAAAGCATATTAGCCTAATAGAGTGCCTTCTTGAAGCTCTTTGTGCTGTTAACAGGATTGATTCTAGTCAAGCTTCACACTCCATTATGCAACTGAAATTTCACATGGCAAAAGGTTAAGCACATATATCCAGAATTTGTGAAAGATCTCTTTTCCTCCTCTTCCTTCGCCATTCTTTAGGTTAAAGCTGGTTGGTGCTCTTTCAATATATTCTTATTGTTTTTTACGGTACCAAGTTTACGCTTTTATGTGCTGATCTTAGCTAATTCTTAGTTCGAGTCAATTTGGTAATATAGTTATTATTCCTGCTCGAATGTATACCAATATGCTTCTGTAGGCGACATGATCTTGGTTCTTTAGTGCAACTGTTGCTAGTTTATTTTTGAAATAAGTTTGAGAAGTATTTCTGCATTTTTCATTGTCAAGATAATTTATGTTGAACAATGAGTATGGTTTAGTGAGACATCTGAGTGTTTCATAGCTTATCTATGAAATTGTGGAACCTTATATTGTTCGATTGACTTCTCATATGGAAACTCTTCACAATAGTTAAGGTGATTATTTTGTTCAGACCTAATAATGTTCACTCGTTGACATGGAATGACTGCTTCCTTAAAAAAAGGGATGGAATTGAACTTACCGGAGAGGCAGCATAGTCTCAATGGCTAGATCGAACCATGTTGGTTTTGTGTGATTTGACATTGTGATATATTGTATATATGTAATATTTATGCCAGATACTTAAGACCATGTGTTGATTACAATGATGTTGTTTCTAGATTCACAAAATTTGATGAGATATTTTTGCTTTGATTGCTTCGGTTGGACCTTTTGAAGTTCTAACATGTAGCAGGAGTGGGTCTATTAGTTGTTTGAACATGGTTGAAAAACTGAAGCATGAAAATATAGTAGTAATTTGTTTCTTCTTAGTGATCTAGCTAATGCAATCTCCACATCAAAGTAACTAATTGTTAGATTGATATTAGAATGACATAATTTCATTTTACAGGGTTTACATGAAAAGTTAGCTACTGGAGAAGTGAAGGACGCCAAAGTCAGCCGAGGGACGCAGCACAAAGAGAAAATGGGATTTCAGAAATTTCTCAGATCCATTCCAAAACAAACCGCTTCTGATCGGACTTCACTGTTACCTCTTGCATTGAGAACGATAGATTCCTCAGTGTGCACCACCAACAACCTCACCCCTGTTGCCCAAAACCAACTGAACCAACTCATGGAAACCCACCTTAAACCTTCTTTCACGGCCAAAGATTTTCTTACTTTCCTCAAGAATCACGTCCATTACCACCCTGTCCTCACTAACCTTGACTTCTACCTCTTCAACTATGCTGCTTCTGTTGATTCTTTCCGCCATGATCACTCCACCTTTGAGTGGATGGTCCGCACGCTGGCCATCACCCACCGCCTCCAATTTCTTACTTCTCTCCTTCAATTTATTGCTTCTAATCCCTGCCCGTGTGCTGACGGTATTTTCTCTTGCCCCAAAACTGAACCTATTTTTCGTTTTGCCATTAATGCTTATTGCAAGGCTGGTAGATTTGATGATGCATTGTTAGCTTTTGACACAATGAGAAGATCGATTGATGGGAAGCCTGATGTTGCTGTTTACAATATAATAATTCATGGATTTGTGAAGTTTAAGCATTTTGATAAGGCTCTGGAGTTTTACAATAGGATGATTAGAGAAAGAGTGAAGCCTGATGTAATTACGTTCAATACTCTGATTGCTGGGTACTGTAAGAACTCGCAATTGGGCTTGGCTTTGCAAATGTTTAAAGAGATGAAAACTCATGGATGTGCACCAAATGTAGTTAGCTTTAATACTTTAATTAAATGGTTTCTTTTGGATGGTAAGATTGAAGAGGGGATTGGGATGGCCTATGAGATGACGGAGATGGGATGGGAGATTTCTGCAGTGACTTGTGAGATTTTGGTTGATGGTCTTTGCAGGAAGGGAATGATGTTGAAAGCGTGCGATTTACTGGTTGACTTTTCAAGGAAACGGTTGCTGCCAAGAACATTTGATTATTTTGGGTTAATTGAGAGGCTTTGTTGTGAAGGGAATGTGGCCAGAGCAATGGAATTGGCGAATGAGTTATGGAGGAATGGGAGTTCTCCAAGCTTAATTGCTTGTACAACCTTGATTGAAGGTTTAAGGAGAACAAGAAGAATTGATGAAGCATATAAAATTATGGAGAAAATGCTGCAGGAATGTATGCTTCCGGATAGTGTAACCTTTAATTGTCTACTTAGTGACATGTGTGATGCAGGAAGAATGAAGGAAGCGAATGAGATGAGGTTATTGGGTTTAAACAAGGGTTTGGATCCTGAGGCTGTGACGTACAATATTTTGATATCAGGTTTTAAGAGGGAGGGTAAAAAGAAGGAATCGGAAGCACTGGTGGAAGAAATGTTGGATTTGGGGTTTATACCTGATATTGCTACTTATAACAGGTTGATTGATAGACAAGCTAAATCAAAAAGTTAAATTTCTTTGCACCTATTATCTTCAAGTCGAGAAAACTTATATGGTGCAGTTTATTGATCCATGTGGAAATAGGAGATATGCATATTAGGAAGTACCAATAGATAAAATCAGTGATTTTTCCCCTTTTACTTCCAATCATCTACAAAAAATATTGGTGAGTTATGTATTGTCTATATCCTTTTGAGAGTGAGTCAACTGAAGCAGCAGCTTGGAGTTCTCATGGCTTGTATTGGCACAAAATTTTGTCATCATCAACTCTTCTATTAGTGAATTGCAACACATCATAGCAGATATGCTGCTTATTTTTTTAACTACATGGAGTACAGTGAACTCTGCTGTGCACATTAAAGGAAGCTCTGTTATGCTGGGAAGAGATTCAACAATGAAAAAAAGATTGATTATTTTGGATCCTTCCTTTCTTCAAACTAAACAAAACAAGATAGAATCAGGCCGATTCCCGAAATTCCCTTCTGTATATTCCTTAATGTCCCAGCTATTCACTGAATGTGAGAAGCTGATGATAGAATCAGGCCGATTCCCTAAATGCCTTTCTGGATATTCTTCAATGTCCTGGGCTATTCATGGAACATGAGAAGCAGATGATTAATCATCTTTCCCAGAAGAAATTGAAGAATTCTTGGGTATGCTACAAGATTTGTTCGTTCTTTTTTCTCTGATAGATGGCCAGTACTTCATCTAGGTTCCCTACTATAAAGAAGCAACTCAAGAGAATATGGAGAACAGTACTCTGTATCCAATGGGCAGTTTATCGGAGAGGAAACACATATCTTTTTGGAGCCAAGGAAAAAGCAATTCGTTATCTGAAACAACATAGAATCTATGATGGATCTGATATGACCTGTACATGCTAATGGGAACTAAAATGGTTGTGATTTCTTGATCCCTCTGAAGACAGATGATTGTTACGGGCAATGTACAGATCATTGTGTGCTTAAATGCAATCCTCCTTTTTACTAATGACAAAAAGGGGGAGAGAAGTGGACATATTATCTAATGTCCAAGATAGATTCTGTGAATACATCAATTAAAAAGCCAGAGACACAGGTCCAGGTACAAATTGAGGGGGAGCAAGCATCAACTCAGAGCAAAGTTTCGACAAATGCAGTGAAAAATGAAACACAAACATCAGGGAGTACTTCTTACCTCTCGTCAATTGTTTTTGAAGAAGTTTTGACATCATAAAAAAAGGTGTAGATTGTTAACCTCTGAAGTATTTTGATAATGATAAAAAAGAGATATTCCAGTATTTCGAATAGACGAACATTATATTCTCTTGACAGGAAAATCTGTTTGGACAACAAGCCAACTCACGAAGGAACAGAAATCACTTGGATAGATGATGAAAATATGTCGAGCTGAATGAAAGAGACTGTAAATCAAGCCAGATGATAAGAAAAGAAGATTGGATCGAATAGTTTGATAAAGATGAGCAAGATGCAGCTTCATTAATTACCCAAAGAAATAATCAAGGGACTATCTGAAGATGCATATCAGCATGTGAGAAAGAACATTACACTAAGGCACCCAGATAACAGTACCGCCAAGTCAGTAAGAAAATCCAAGAGGACTGTTCACATGCAAACCTAGAGATATGCACGGAGTAATCAAAGAGCATTCAGTGATGCCGTTAGAGCTTAAGAATTTCTATTCACAACGAAGGCACGGTAGAAGGCAAGAGTTTAAATTTCATTAACAAAGAGGAGCATGTTTACAAGGCATGAAGGAAGAGAATATTGTCAACTAAGCTGATTCCAAGGAAAAACGCCCAAAGGACGAGAAACAACAACAAACCCAGTGTATTCCCACAAGTGGGGTCTGGGGAGGGTAGTGTGTATACAGGTCTTACCAAAGGACGAGAAAGGCATCTAAAAAAGCTACAGAGAGACATTGAAGGCTTTTGAGTATAAAAGGGAGCCGACCAAACTCTGAAGTTACTTTTGCAGATATGAAACGAAAAGGTTTCTTTCTATCCTCATGTAAATCTTTGTAGAGATTGTACATTTCTGAGTTTATCCACAATGTCCACCATAACCTTATTAATGTTGTAATGCTGTAAGTGCAAAGCTCGGTTGTTGAATTTAAATGGTTGTGAAACTCCCCTTTTTCTTTCTACTTCTTGTAATTGTTGGGTGGTGAGCGAGTTAAAACCGTTGGAGAATTTTGTTGTTGGTAAGCAAGTACAAACCAACTTGTAATTGTTCTGGTGCGCAAGTAAAAACCACAAGTTTGTGGTGACCATGTGAAAACCAGTTGTTTCTTGTGATCAATTTAAATAAGAGCAGTAATACAACTCCCTTGGGAGTCGGGAACTGGAATGCGCACCACATTGGTGACCCAAACCAGTATAAAATTACTGGTGCCACCTTTGTTTTATTTCTGTATTTCTGATATTGGTCTATATCTATAAATCAAATCTTATTGAACTATTATTCCTCATTGAAAATTATTGGAACAAGATTTAGAAAAAAGTGTTTTTGAAACTTCATCAAAGTGGTCTAAAAAGAAAACATTTTTAGATTTGAGTTGAATCAGTGCAATTCAACCCCCACCCACTTTCACATATAACTTTCTTATTTCAATAGGTTAATTAACTTTATGACATTTTTTGGAAGCAGGTAATATATCATCTCTTTTTCTGTTTTTCTTATAGCATTTTTTGTCTATTGCAATATTAGTATATATTTTTTTGGCTTCACTGTTTCGATATTCTAGATTTCTAGTTGTTGAGACCTTATAGAAAACATGTGAGGCTGAATAAGATTTTTTTCCTTATATATATAAAAGAAAAAGCATTCAATACAAAGAAAGTGGTGTGTGAACACAGAGACTATATGTATTGCATATTTGCCCCCTCTTTTGTTTGTTTTTGTTATTTTCTTTTGCCATGTCCACACTGTGCCAATGAGTATTGCAGAAAGCTTCATATTTGGTATTCAATTTTCAAACTTTAGGACATAAGATTCTCAGGTCTTCAGCTTTTGAAATGAAAAATCAAAACCAAGAAAAAGTCACTGCCTCTGCCCAGCTATAGAAAACTTAACAATTGTTTTGAAAGACCTCCTATATTGACTACATTGTAATTAGTAGTACTGGCCTCCTACTTATCATACTTTATTGTTTCCAGTGTGAATTGCTTCCATATTTGTAGAAAACTAGAGTAAAATTATCAAGAAGTATTTAACAAATTACTGACCACCTCTTGATATCTTACCAGTAGTCAAACATATCATTTCTGGGAGCCAATTTTCTGTAAATTTCTTCATTCAAAAATCTTGTGAAGATCTCTGAAGGTACATCCCAGAGTAGCAAGAGAGATGGCTGCTTATGCTGCTGTAACTTCTCTGTTGGGAACAATACACCTGATTTCACAATCCAGCTTAAAGCTTCAAGAGGGTCACAAAGAACATTTGGGATTACTCTACAAGAAGGTTAGATCTCTGCAAGAGCTTCTTGACAATAGTGATGATGAACCAACAAAGGATTTGCAAGAAAAAGTAAGAGATTTAGCACAAGATGTAGAAGACAAAGTTGAGTCGCGCATTCAAAGAGAGGCCCAGAAGACGCTTCTTAAAATGTTGCAACGAGTCTTCAACCTTCCAACAAAGGCCCATGGGAGGCTTCTTAAAATCATGCAACAAGCTATAAAAGACATTGATTCTGTGAAGGAACGGCTCATCAAGCAGCGGGAGAATAATAATCTGTCAGCTGAAATTTTTTCACCTCGTGCTTCCAGTTCAGCACAATATCATGTTTCAACCATCGAAAATGATATGGTGGGGTACAACATTGAACAAGAGCTCATGCGGGATCAACTTAGGGGACACTCGTCTCAACTGGAAGTCATCTCCATTGTTGGTATGGGTGGCATAGGTAAGTCAACTTTTGCCAAAAAGATGTTGTCTGATCCCTCAATTGTGAGCTTTTTTGATGTTCGTGGATGGATTACTGTGTCCAAGGACTACAGTTTAAGAAGGATACTTCTAGGCCTCCTTCAAGATGCTATTGGGGTGAAAGAAATGCTTGATAAGGTAAGCGATGATGCACTTGCAGATCGCTTGCAGAAAAGCTTAAAGGGTAGGAGGTATTTGATTGTTGTGGATGACATNCATATGGAGCAAGGAAGCCTGGGATGAGATTAGACTATGCTTTCCAGAATATAGTAATAAAAGTAGGATATTGTTAACTACTCGAGACATGAAGGTTGCTCAGTATGCTAGCTTTCCTAAGGATCCTTTTCCAATGCGTTTCCTGGAGCTAGAGGAAAGTTGGAATTTGTTTTGCCAAAAGGCGTTTGACCAAAAAGTCTGTCCGATTGGATTTGAAGATGTCGCAAAGGAAGTTGTGGAAAATTGCAAAGGATTACCACTAATGATTTCTGTGGTTGCAGGGACTCTCTCTAGTAAGAGGACGCTGGACGAGTGGAGGAAAGTAGCTCAAAGCATCAGCTCATTAGTAAACCTTGATGATTATCAACGTTGCTCAGGAGTGCTTTCTTTGAGCTACAATCATCTTCCGTCTCATTTGAAAGCTTGTTTTCTGTATTTTGGGGTTTTCCCAAAAGCTAGTGAGATTTCTGTGAAGAAGTTGATTAGATTATGGGTTGCAGAAGGATTCTTAGAGCTGAAGGGGCTTGAGGGATTGGAAAAAGTAGCTGCTAATCTGTTACATGAACTTATTGATAAAAGTCTAGTTGTTGTTAGCAAGAAGAGTTTGGCTGGCAAAATCAAGACATGCAGGATTCATGATCTTCTCCATGATTTATGCTTGAGAGAAGCTGAAAGCGAGAATCTATTGTACGTCGCAAATCCAGTTACTTATGAAGGATCCAGAAGGGTTTCCTCTCAAGGTTGTCGGTGGGTGTCAGTTCATCCAAAGCGAGGTTGTTTATCTTTCATTTTTTTTGATGATATTACTCACATCATAACACGTTCTCTTCATATTTCTTCCAACATAACAGAGTGGCGTCTTGAATTAGAACTAGACCATTTCATACTTCTTAGAGTATTGGACTTAGAGACATTGAGCTTCGGTTATTTCCCTAGTGAAATATTACACTTAGTTTCTTTAAGGTATTTGGCTGTGACAGCCGTTGAGATTCCTGAAGATACATCAATTTCCAAACTTTGGAACTTACAAACTTTTATTCTTCGCCAATATATTCCAGAACTCAGTGGAACCATATATTTATCAAATGGAATTTGGAAGATGTCTCAATTGAGACATCTCCACTCTACAAGGATGTATTTATATTCTCCTCCAAAGGTTTCAGCCAACGATGTTATGTACTGTTTTTTGGAAAACTTGCAAAGTGTTTCTGGGATGAGTCCTCGTTGTTGCACCAAGAAAACGTTTGAAGGGATTAAGAAAGTGAAGGAATTGGGAATTGGTGGCAATACAAGCGATTTTTACAAGAAGCCCAAATGCCTAGATAATCTTATATATTTACATGAGCTCGAGGCACTAAGTATTGCATCGTACAACTCTGAACCAGATGGTTTGTTTCTTAGGCTTCCATGTCCGGGTTCTTTCCCACCAAATCTCAAGAAGCTGACACTTTGTCGCACTTTTCTACCATGGGAGGACATGACAATCATTAGCAAGTTGCCCAAACTTGAGGTGCTCCAATTGAAAGCTCATGCCTTTGTAGGTGGTGAGATTGTAGGAGAAACTGTCTGGGAAGTAACAGAGATTGGGTTTCTTGAATTAAAATTCTTGCTCCTTGAGAAGTTGCATCTTGACTATTGGAGAGCGACCGATGATTATTTCCCATGCCTTGAACGCATAATTATCAAAAATTGCAGTTCATTACAAGAGATTCCTAAAGGATTTGCAGATAGTATGACACTGCAGCTAATTGAGTTACATCAGTGTTCTCCTTCCCTTGTGAATTCTGCTGAGCTGATCCGGAAAGAGCAATTAGAGAGTCTGGGAAACAACATGCTTAAAGTTTATGCCTTTGACAAAATTAGAGGTAAGTAAAATAATTTTGAATGAATATTCAACTGCCATATAACTTTGACTCTGATGAACTGTGTTAAATCAATAGATAAGAATTAAACTGTTGATTGTGATAAGTTTCTGCGCATAACTACTATATTGTTGAATATAATAATGTAAGGAAATCGAATAGTTCATAAAATCTGTTATATGTGATTGTCATATTAGGGCCTTTTATTATGATATATAGATTCATTGAAATGGTGTATAACTAACGTTGCACGTAGTATCTAATATTTATATCAAACTTGTTTTCTTTATAAATTTATCTATTTACTTATTCATTCATGGCAATAATGAAGTTTATTACATATCTAAGTTCATCGTGTTACCTGTATATTTAGAGGCTTCGCCCATTAACCATATCGAAAGGAAGCATCCCGACGTATTATCAGAACATAAGTGCAAATTTAGCTCAACAGTGACTAGTAAGAGAATGAAATATGCAGGAAGTAAGTTTTCAGGGGTCAAATGTCATCTATGGTAACATAATCGAAAACAATCAACAACTTTGGTCGAAATATTTGTTCTTTCAGTGCCAAAAGTTTAAGTATTGTACCTTTTCATAATATAGAAATGAGATAATACATTTATTTATTCATTTCCAACAGATTTTCTCAATTATTACTTAGCATTAAACTACATGTGTTTTAGAGTACATTGTGTATTTTAAGTTGAATAAATGGGAGAATGAAGGCTAAATTCAAATTGTTGGGACATTTTCTGATAGAAATATAATAGAAACAACAACCCTTTTGAAAGGGTGCCATATGAACTGTTGCAAATTAAAAAAAATCAGTCTCTCACATCTAAAGTTTCCAACTCTGATTATGTCTCACCTTTTCACTTTACACTTACTGAAAATTCACTTGTAATGGCCATTGTACAGAGAGAAATTCTGATGAAGATTCTGGAGAATCAACAGAGGAAGTTATGGAAGAGACTGACGAAGATTCAGAGGAAGAAACAGAGGAAGATTGAGCAAAACGGTTTTAAGGTAAACTTGTGAGGAAAGGTGTTTAGGTTTATACTAGATGTGTCATAGCCCGTGCTTAGTACAAGCCCAACAAGTTGAAGTAATGCAATATAGTTGAAATGCAATACACCTTAGCT